CTGCACTGTGGTTGTTTGGCAGGGAAGGGAAAGCGGAGGCGGTCGTGCGATGAGGAGGAGAGCGGCGGCCCCAGGGCTAAGAAGCAGAAATTGGATGCAGGCGGTGAGGAGGTACTGGGGGGGGGGGGGGGGAAGATTCCCAAAGCTCGGGGCTGTGGTTCAGAGCAGGGCTGTGGGTCAGCAGGGCTGTGGGTCAGCAGGGCTGTGCCGTGGGGAACGGGGGGGGGTTGGGCGGCCACTTTTGGGGGCATCCCATCGGCTGCTGTCACCTCTGGCTCCGAACGCTTCTCCGTCCCCATCCGCCCCGTGCTGCTCCGGCTCTGCAGCTCAGCCTTGGTGGCTCGCGGTCCAGCATCACCCCGAGGTGCTGGGAACGAAGCCGCAGCTCTGCTCCCCTTGCAGCCGCCCCCCGATGACGGCATTTATTGGCAAGTGAACATGGAGCGCTTCCACCAGCACTTCCGAGACCAGGCCATCGTCAGCGCCGTGGCCAACCGCATGGACCAGGTGCGTCCGTGGGCTTCCATCCTCTGCAGCCCGACCCCGTGGCGGTGGGGGCTCTGGGGTCTGCAGGGTGGGGGGGCTACGGCACTGCTGTGGCCCGGCTCCGTGGCGGAGTGGGGCGACGGTGGGGTTCCGTCCTGCGGCACAGTGGGGTCGGGGGCTGCGGGGGGGGGAGCCTTGCCTTCTCCTGCGGCCAGACTCCATGGTGGAGCGGCTCTGGACACCGGGCTGCTGGGGGGGATCCGCGTCCCTGCAGCACAGCTCCACGGCGGGGCAGGGCTGCGGTGGGGGGGAGGAGAGGCTTCCACACCCTGCTCTGGGGTGGGGGCTGCCCACGGCTGTGTGCTGCTATGGGGAGAGCTCAGCTCTGGGCTGCCATTTGGTGCTGCTCTGAGTGCAGTGCAGCCCCCAGCCTGCAGCCCCCGTTGCAGCCCAGCGCTGTTCCCGTTGCAGCCCAGCAGTGAGATCGTTCGGACGATGCTGCGGATGTCTGAGGTCACCACGGCGTCGGGCGCAGCTCACACGCAGCCGCTCTCCTCCCATGAGGTCGGTGTCCCCCTCCCCCCCCTCCCCGCTCCTTCCATCCCCCCCTCGGGGGTCACCGTGTGCCCACAGCCCCCCTGGGCTGCAATGAGTGCTGCTGTGGGCAGGAAGGAGGGAAGGGTCCGTCTGTCCGTCAGCGGAGGTCGGGGTGTCCGTCAGTCCTGCTGCGTCTGCGTGTCCTGCGGTCGGGGGTCGCGCAGGAGGTGTCTGTGCGTCCTTCGCTGGGGATCGGGCAGGAGGTGTCCGTCTGTCCTGCGGTGTCACTACATCCCTCAGTGGGGTTGGACAGCAGGCGTCCGTCTGTCCCGCGGTTTCCATCTTTCCTGTGCAGCCGGGTTTGGGTGGGAAGCGTCTGTCTGTCCCACGGCGTCGTTTGGCAGGAGGTGTCTGTCCATCCTGCAACGTCTGTCTGTCCTGCAGCAGACAGGAGGTGTCCGAATGTCTCTCGGTGGGGGTCGGGCAGGAGGTGTCCGTCCGTCCCGCAGTGTCCATCTGTCCCGCAGTGTCCATCTGTCCCGCAGTCTCTCAGTGCTGCTCGTTCTCCTCCCGCAGATTTTCCGTTCGCTGCCGCCGGGTTACAACATCACAAAGGCCGTGCTGGAGCAGTGCCTGGCGCTGATGGCCGACGACCCGGTGAGGCTGTGGGGCGCAGTGGGGTGCTGTGATGGGGTGCTGTGGGGCGCTGTGAGATGCTGTGGGTGCTTTGCGATGCTGTGAGATCTGTGGGGCGCTGTGAGATCCTATGGGGCGCAGTGAGATGCTGTGGGGCACTGTGAGATGCTGTGAGATCCTATGGGGCGCAGTGGGGCACTGTGAGATGCTATGGGGCGCAGTGGGGCACTGTGAGATGCTATGGGGCACAGTGGGGCACTGTGAGATGCTGTGAGATGGAAACAGATGGAGCGCCGGATGGAAACAACTCCTCCCAGTGGGGCGCAGCTGCGCCTGCAGAGCTCTGCGCCGTCAGGGTGCAGCTGCTGCGGCGCTGGGCTGCTGCTCCCCACTGCGAGTTGTTTCCGCCCGGCGCTCAGCACAAATCGGGTTTTGTCCGCCGGGGTTTCGGGGCAGCAGCGGTTCTGGCACCCGGGACCTGCTGAGCTCCGTGTCTGCACAGCTGCAGTTCGTGGCGAAATCCGGGGACAGCGGCGGCGGCACCTACAGTGTCAGCATCCTTTGGGGGGGGCGGTGGT